TGCCGGATGTGTCCAAGCCGAATTGGAACGATGTGAAGAATAAGATAGGCAAGCTGCAGAAATCTATCGCAAGCCATCAACTGGCTTGGCAGCGAAGCACCAGAAGCATGCTGCAACTGGGCCGTTGGACTTTCGGTCTATAGATTTCTTTGATACCGGCCAAGAATTCTCCATTAAAATGGCTATTCTTGTGCGACAAGCTCTTCACTTCGATTGGTCCAGCACTCTTTTTTTAATTTTCCGTAGGTGTTTCCGAACTTATGTCCTGGCGCCGCTGAGTTTCTGTATTTTTGGAGTGTTTTTGTGGGCACCACATTACTTTGAATCTATGTGGACGTCGATGAGTCATTTTCGTCAAACCAGTCTTACGTCCGTTGTTGCTTTGATACAAATGTCTCCACAGCAGCTGTCTGGAGTTGTGTTTGTATTTGCGACCACTGTATTTTGAGTGTGTTTGGAACTTGTTCATCCACCAACCTCAGTGTTAAGGCCTCAAAAGGCTCTCTAGTCTCCCCTTATGTCCACATTGACTGAGTTTCCTCCTGGTCCACGACGTGGTGGCTTTTTTGAGTGCGACACGTATTAAGGAGTGATCCGTATCACATTCAGCACCACACATCACCTTTGTAAACGAACTGCAGACACCTTCAGCGCACCTCCTGGTGAATTTACGCGAGCAGCAATGTTCGCCCCACATTGAACTACGTGCTTGATAGTGAGAGGTCAAATGCTGCACACATAGTGACCTTTTGTCATTGTCGTTCGTTGATCCGACTTCAAATTGATGTACGTATATCCCCCCGCGTCTCTCGGTTCTTGTCATTCCGAGCATCTAAATCGCTTCACAGGCAGAGAAGTTTGCTCAGAGGTGCAGATTTGACCGGATCCGATAGTTAATGGTGGAGTTTTTCGTCCAACAGTGTGGCACTGTGGGATATAGCTCTGATAAGCATGGCCAACCTTGCCCCCGATACCATCGTCCACAGCCGCACAACCATTTGGAAGCATTATTTTGAAAAAACGAATAAACGTGAATGGGGAAGCAGCTTAATGCTAGACTGTTACAATCCTTCCGAGATGGCTCAAGTGGTTAGAGCGCGAATTTACTGACCGGAAGGTCCGTGGTTCGAACCCGACCTCCGCCACTCGACTTCCCCTGTCTAGGCTTGGGCAACCTGACAGTATCCCAGCCCTCGTGCTTCCTTCGGTTGGCATGGCAGCTAGGCACCGAAAGTGCGCTACAGCTGAACGAAGTACCCACACTTCCAGAAACTCATTCAGGCAATACGGATGGAATCTGATAGCAAGAACGTCACTGACATCGATTAGCAGCCATATGTTGCAGCGTTTCTAACCAGGCGCGGTGGACATTACGCGGTCCCCTTCATGAAGATGAGTCGCACCGACAACACTCAGATTTTTCGCTATATTCTTCATCACCCCTCTGACAGGTCAGAGGTAGACCACCTCTGTGCTTTCGCTACTCTGGATTGAACATGGACAACAGCACTCTTCGGCGAACGACGGTTCGGCTTGCGCAATGCATGGCCTAACCAATGCAGCTTCTGGTGCTCCAGCTTTTTTCGATGGAATTCTAAGTTGCCTAGTTACGGACTCGCTGACACCAACCTTCAGAAGCTATAGTTCTGAGGCCATGTCTCACAACTATACAACAAAATAACTCGTATTGTAGCCCGGTACACACGTCCCTTGAGATTCAGGGATGTGTCGTTTTACGCCATAGGTTTCAAATTAGAAAACGCTACCCGAACCTTGAGATCTGTTCCCTGACCCCCATCCGTCACACCGAACTTATACAAATTTGAAGATACGCAAAATGCTCCACAACCTTGAGTGCCTCTCTTTGGATTGCAAAGGGCGCATTCTGTGATTGCACGTCCGCAAGATTGACCTTACAGTTTGTAGGTGGAAAGCGCGTATCAAAGGACGAGGTAACTTTAGTCAGTTCATCCCAAAACACCTGCGCCTTCGAAAATGAAAGCGATGTCATTTGCATACCCCGAATCCTTAGGTTTCGAAGTCCTCTCAGCATTCTTATAATCTCGTCGATCACGAAATTGAATATGAATGGAGAGAGTGGGCGTCCTTATCGTAAATTACTTAGTATGCGAAAGCTTTTGGAGGGCTTGCGCGTTTCCAAGTCTTGGAACACAAAGAATTCGTCCAAAATCTTCCAGGACAAGCGACTAGGAGGAAAAGATGGTCAGCTGAATCGATTGCACCTTGAAAATTTAGGGATTAAGATGGAAATTCAATCGTTCAGCTGTAACACCCTTTCGGTGCCTGCCTGCCATGCCACCCGAAGGAAGCACGAGGGCTGGGATACTGTCAGGTTTCCCAGCTGTAGACAGGAGAGGTCGGTGTGCAGAGGTAAGGTTCGAACCGTGGGCCTTCCAGTCAGTAGATCTGTTCTGTAATCACTGAGTTATCTGTCACCGGACGCAGTGTTTCAACGCAACCGCCACCAGGCCGGAATCTCGCTCTCTGCTCTCGAGTCATTGCATCACGAGCCAATATATGTGGTCAAGCCTTCGCGGCCGTAAGGGTCTTAGGTTGACCATCCAGAGTACTACTTCACTTCCAGGATTCGACTGAATGAAAGCGATTACCACGAGAATTGTTTCCAAAGTGCTCGGCCCAGCAGTCGAGGCTTCCCTCATCCAAGGTCCTTGTTTTGTTTGTTCATAGATGGTTTCTGGGGACAGTTGCACCGATCAGCTGAAATAACCTCGTGTTTCCGGCTTCCTGGCTCTCCATTCCTCTAATTTTTCATGTCCATCAGGCCTCATAGTCTGTAGGCATGCTAATTTGGATGTCTGATAAGTCATCATTATATTCGGGGCCACGGGAACAGTCCTTCGGGATTCAAGCAGCGCCACCGTTCTGTCTGACATTCATTGCCTCAGGTTACCTGGTAGCCCCTTCTTGATACTGTGCAGAGATATGGTGATCTCGTTCCAGCACGAATTCGTATCCGACGACGGTGCAGCCGGAAAACAGTCCAGAAAACGATTATTATAGGTTTCTCTAACTTCGGGATTGACTAGCCTTCCAGTTGCCAAGCGATCTGTCCGCACTTGATGTGGCCTTTGATAAGGAAGAGGGAAGTGACTCCGAACGATCGCAGAATCCACACAAGTATTCCAAACCGAGTGATGACCGGTTATTGATTCGCGCCATCTGTAACTAATGGCTCTGGCTGGTAAGTCGTTGTAGGACACTATGTGGTGACGACGACTTCGGTTATTTCGAAAGTTAGTACTGCACAAAAACAGCCTGCGGCCAGCACATGGCTCAAGCAATCGTTTGGCGTAAGCACTGAGTCCAATCCATATCGGCGAGATTGCCCAAGTGGTTAGAGCGCGAATTTACTGACCGGAAGGTCCGTGGTTCGAATCCGATCTCCGCCACTGAACTTCCCCTGTCTAGGCTTGGGCAACCTGGCAGTATCCCAGCCTTCGTGCCTCCTTCGTGTGGCATGGCAGCTTGACACCAAAAGGGTGCTACAGCTGAACGCTTTTTTTCATATCGGCCACCTAATTGAGTCTGAGATACGTTAAGCCTGTCCACTTGTGCATCCAGATCTCCACAATAACAACAAATCTGCTCTAGGCCGAGCTAGATCTCCACAATAACAACAAATCTGCTTTAGGCCGAGGTGTCATAAAACTTGTCTTTGATGATGTCACAGCTAGAGTCGGTTGGGGCGTAAAACGCCACAACTAACAGACAATGGTCACCTTTCCGCTTATGATACTCTTTCGCGGAGTATCACGGCTATGGACGGGTATCCAGTCAGGTAAGGATCATCCCGATGAGTGGATGATGCCGACCCTTGCAAATCCCACCGCAGTGATCTCTGGATCACCGGAGGTGGCATCATTTACGATCGTTTTGTTCCATGAAAGCCACTGTTTTTGTTTGCCAGCTACCTGCTACTCGATCTGACGATCCAGTATGGTCCGACAGCTATTGGGCCCTGCAGCCACATCACAATAGTAGCTTTATTCTCTGGAAATACCTTCGACAGGGGAGCCTGTTTCCACACCGAGGTTCAACCCCAATATCAGCATCTTGGCTGCTTCTGTCCAGAGTTGAGCAGCTTGGCAACATCTGAGCCCTCATACTTCCTTCGGATTGCATTGCAGCTAGGCACCGAAATCCAGCTCGAGATTTCAATCCTGAAGCGCGACAAGGCACATGGCCCGGATGGTCTACACCTCGCGCTCTTCAAAGAAGATGGCGAGGTCCTGGTGAACAGTATGACAACCATACTGCAGAAGATTTGGAACGAAAACAGAATACCAGCCGAATCGAGCTCCTCGACCGTCGTCCCAGTTTTCAAAAAGGGAGCAAGAAGGTCGTTGTATCAGTCTGGTATCCGTCGCATCTAAGGTGCTCTCTGGCCTTATTTTGCGCAAGCCGACGAATTATCGAGAGAGGCAGATTCGTGAGAAACAAACCGGGTTTTGCCCTGGTCGAGGGTGCATCGACCGTATCCTTACCAATTACAAATTCTTGAACAGCGCCACTCTTTCAGACGTCCCACGAAGTACGGAAACACTAGCCAGTAAACTAATGGGTGACCCATTCAACTGCGAACTGATGATGTCTCCTCGACTGGGGACGAAGCGCTTGCAAGCCAATTGCCAAGCTCGGTGAGCAGATCAAGTGCCATCCGACCATCTTCATCTCCATACAGGGTTGTCTCAGGTTGCCATGGTTTTTGATATACCGTAGTGGGCGGAGAAGGAAATTAGGGATCAACATTAGAGTTGCAGTGCGGTCTGCGGACACAATGAGCAGTCGGTTCCAGTCGAAAAGTGCTAGTCTAGAATATCTTATTTTTAGAAATATCCTCCCCTGTTACCGTGATCAGACTGGGAGGTTGGATAGGGAAACAGGTCAACATAGTGTGTTTCAGCCTTCTGAGACCTCTTCGCTTGATTGGGAGCGGTATGAGGTATTGCTACAAACGGATGTCACTGGCGTCCGTGGTTTGTCATTTTGTCTAGACTATCTGATTGAGTGAATTTTGGATGTAAGCATTCGGAGTACTCGTGATTAGCTGACCCCAGGCCATCACTTTGAGGATTCCATTGAAGAACGGTAGTGAGGTGCTGGTGTTGCTAATGAATATCGTTTATAATCACACTTTGTTCTCTCTTCCAGTGGCCGATCGTAACTACTGCGTTGGCCGAGAACCGGCACGAGCTTGTGCTGGCCGGGCCGGAAATAGCGAAACTAATAACGGACACAGGCTTTGATGATCGAATATATGCTCTTGAGCGACTGAACTTTCTTGAAATATCACAAACTGGACTGGACTCCCTCTCAGAGAAGCTTGGCAATTTGAAGCAGTTGGCCCAATTGGGCCTCACATCTAACCGTCTAACGCGACTTCCAGATGCCGTAGGACGCCTGAAGTGTCTTCGCTTCCTGGACGTGTCCTTCAATCAACTTTCAGAACTCCCGGAAAAGATATTTACTCAGCTGGATTCACTAACCAGTCTAAACCTCTCAGGCAATGAACTTAAAAAAATACCCGAGGTCGGGAAGTTGTTATCTTTGCAAGAGCTTCGGTCTTCGAAGAACAAATTACAGGTAGGTTTCGGAAATCACGACTAACGCGATACTTTCAGTCTCTACCTGACGGTATCCACCTCCTCCAGTCATTGATCCTGCTGGATGTTTCACACAATAAGCTGACATCAGTGCCTGAAGAAATGAACGGATTGAAGAATCTTAAATCGGCAGATTTTTCAGACAATAGTCTGGCTTCTGTTCCGGCCACTCTGCATCAATGCCGAAAGCTCCACGACTTGCGTTTGCAGAATAATCCGCTGAAAGACAATCGTTTGCGAAAACTTGCTTGTGACACACACTCGCCAAAAGCCTTGTTCGATTATCTGCGGCGTCTTGATGAAGCGGGTGGTAAGGGGAAGAAGGGACGTGGCAAAGCGCCTCCAACCAAAGACATTGAGCCTACAGAAGCAGATACCGCGGATGCAGAACCTACTGAGAGTGTACCAGTTCCTCCCTATATTTCTGTCCAACGACCCGATGAGTCCGAGGTAACATAGGAAAATATTTTGATGGAAAATTTGTGATTCACATTTCTAACTGATTTGAGGTCTCACTGATGCGCCTATAAAGTTTTCCGTTTATCCACGTTTACGTAAGCTTTTGTTTCATGGCGTTTGTAGGTTTGCCTACACATTTAACTAAACTATGGGTATATTTGTATATATTTCGTTGTATATATATTGTATATTTCGTTCACTTCAGTTATTCCGAGTAGTTCTCTCGCTTTGGAATTTAAAGTTTCCGTACGTTTTTTGTGCATGACGGCGTGGAGTTATTTCGGCAGGAATGCGTACGATTTCACCCCCAAGGACTTCCAACAGTAATTTAGGAAAGCTAGAAAGCCTTGTACAACTGTTCCATCCTCACTGAGAATCATTAGCTGTGTGTATCTCACGTTTTGGAGGAATTAGTCCTTAAGGTTAGTGAAACTTCCATTTGAAATCTCGCCCCCCACTGAACCAGTCAACACGTGACCTTATGATGTTCATTGGCTGATTGAAAGCTGAGTGCGAGCCAATCACAATGCTGGTTAGCTGCTCGTAGCCGAACGGATAAGCCGGCTAGTCGGGTTCGTTAGCTGCGCACCGCGGATGATGGCCGATGAGGATGGAACAGCTACGTAGTGCTTTTCGGTGTAGATTGGCTTTACTTACAGGCTGACGTCTCGATTGAGAATCCCAAAATCTCCTCAGACTACGGACAGCAGTTAAGGTACTAGCTATTGCCGACACACAGCTCACAGACCTTCGGACCGCATGCTTCTCACGTGTTTCATATCAGTGTGTGTGTGATCATTAATCCCTCCTGTTTTCTGACTCGCTACTTGTCTTTTGTACTCAGAACTACCAGATATCACAATCCAGCTCAGTGAAAAACGGTCCTCGCCCGTACCTAATCGCTTGTACAGTCCATGGAGTTGTGTTCAAATCTGAGGCCCATTTGAAGTCGTTCACCCGAGCTCAAGAGGAATGGCATCGGGGTGTGGGTCAAATGCGTCGTCGTGCCACTCTGGCCACGCACGATCTCAAGGCCGTGCAGTTCCCTCTTACCTATTCGATGCAAAAGGCCGAAGAGATTGAGGTGAGTACATATCAACCGTGTGCCGTCACGGAGAGACTGGACCCTACTGTGGTGTGGCGGTTTGTGTACCTCGGAGACCCATTGAACTATACTGGCGGGGGAGGGGGGTGTTCGCGCGACACTCACAGAGTCTCTCATACCAGGTTGGTAGAGGTCTAACAAACACAGTCTCCTGGCCTTTCAGGTTGGGGGGTTGGAACATGTATGGCTACATGTTCCGTAAAAATGGTAATGTACTTGCATTTCCCGCCAAACACCGCTGCCTTGCGGTTAGGCTTTTAAGCCAAAGGCTTTGGTTGAGGACCCTAATCGTCCTCCTGTCGTGGTGTGAGCGCCCTGGTAGTATCCCAGCCCTCGTACAACCATTACGGCAGTGAAGCATCAGTGCCAACACTGATGTTGCTGTCTTTGATGATGATCATGATATCAACCGTGTGCATATTGTTTCGACCATTGCCACTACCTTCCTACTGGTGGACAATCTGGTTGTAAATCTTGCCAGATCTCCCCCCCCCCAAAAAAAAACACGTTTTTGCACTCACATCGCTCCCATCTGTCGATCGCAGCAGCCTACTTGTGAGTAAAACGAGCTCTCAGATAGGCCCAGGGAAATCGAAAAACGGTCATTTGACCTCACTTAGTTCGTTAACATCGCTATCAGTAATAGCTGTTTTGAAACTTTTTTTTCCTGCTGTCTTTGTATTAGGTGTCTGCGCTACGCTGCCTACCATTTGGGATCTAGAAAGTTTCGGAGCGGAGCTGAATTACCTGTCAGTCTTTTATGAAAGTGTTTATGCCGCAAACAAAGGTTTCTTCAAGTAGAGCGGTTGAACACTGTTGTCAAACTCTTCACACAATTGATTGATAGAAAGCAACGAATACAGTAGTCATCCTAACAAGCACTTTCCCCTCCCCGGAGGAAGTAACTTTAGTGAATATGAAATTTATACCACATGATACCGTCGCAAACAGCCCCCTCCCAGAACGCCACAAACCCGTCCCACCATAGATTATCAGAAGCCCAATATGAAGTATCTTCTGAATATACTTTTTTGACCGCAAGAGTAGTGTAGTGTCGTGGGTGATAGCTGAGTGATTTAGGAGCTTGATGCACTTTATTCTGTTTAGTCTAGTTACTCGAGTGGGGAAACCTCAAGGAAGAAGACAAAGGACGTCAGATGAAGATCGGCTATATTGCAGATGAACCAATGGAAGAAAGGGCGCTGAGCCTCAGTTGGCTACAACAGAGAGAAAATGAAATCTCAGTGAAATATTACAAAAGGTAGAATTGTTCGTTAGGACCTGAACGTCCTAACACCTCCCTTTTCAAAATCTGTGTACTTTTTCAGATGTGGAATCACCTGCATTGATGTAAATGGTTTTGGGTTACGACTGGACCACCGTCTTGGTGTGCATATGGATTCGACTGGGGGGTTGTCCGTTTGTCCAGGGGGCACATGTGTTAATGGCAACTCAAAGGTATCCCCAACAATATGTCAAAAGGAATTGAATTATACGATGTAGCCGGTGCAGCGCATCCAGGACAAAGTTGATTCGCGTGACAAACCCATGTGGTAGACTGTACGTCAATTTCGTATATGACGTTACCCACGCGGCGCTTGATGTAACCATGAGTCCATTTCTCTCCACGGCTGCGATAGTCCTTAGACAAGACCGAATCACCGGGCTTATAGGGGGCGTAAACGGCACCATGATGGCGGTTGAACTGCCGCTCCATTTATGTTTTCCTTTTTCGTAGGTTGGGAAGTAAATCAATCCTTGTCTTTGCTTTTCCAAGCAGACTAAAATGCCGCTCACGTGAGGACATAATGAGCTGTCCCGAGGATACTGGCCTGAGGAACAACCTTAATGAGATAAGAGCGGCACAGCTATTTTTCTATTGGTTACATATTCAGTCAGTATTCGATAGGCATGATAACCTGCTCCGTCTGAAGAGACAAGGGGGGGGGGGGGGGGGTAGTCAGAAGGACTCACTTAGACTTCAATATAGTGGTTGGGCTGAATGCATGTGTTGAATGCGATGTTGCCTTAATATTAGTTTCATTGTTTAGCCACCGTACCAAGTGAATTTGCGGACATATTTAACCATCGGGCACTTGTTGTTTGGATGTGCGATTTGAGTACGACCGTTCCAGTTGTTCAAGGGTGTCTTTTTATAGCGGGTGCTTAAAGTGCGCTTACTTAGCTTCTCTCTGACGCCATTTGAACTACCCAGATCAGACTTTTTGTTTCTCCTGAGACCATCATCGGAACAGGTATACCCAATGAAGTTAGAGAATCCGATCATAAAGGGAAGGATAGATGGAGCTTTATTCATTCGGAATAACCCGTTATTAAGTTGGTTAATGATAGATTATCTAGAGTCTTTATGCTTTGCAAAGATGTCCTTTACCCTTCCAGCTAACTGTGGAAAAGTCTATTTGAAGCGGCAACTTGGGCGTGATCTCTCAAGGTCCCCAAAATGAAAGTAAAGTAAGCCACATTGAAAGACCCCCAAACAATAGGGTATTGTTGTCCCTTCGAACGACAATTGTCACCTTTGAACAAGCGCCATTTTCAAAAGTTCCTTTTCTAGCATCCTCTAGTGCTAGGTTAACATATCTATTCCGAACATGGCCAAAATGACTGCCTTGTCAGCCAGGTCTCATCAGTCTTATAAGTGGCGTGGCTTATCGGTCAAGGTTTATCAGTACTGAGGAAACGTTACGATTGGCCTCTACAATGATCCAAATCCGGTATTATCTGTCGGTATCGTGTATTCCAATATCGTGTGAGTCTGAAGCGTCCTCAATAGGACCGACCCTGTCCAACTTCTTTATCCTTCGTTCAGCTGTAACACCCTTTGGGTACCTAGCTTCCATGTACCCGAAGGAAGCACGAGGGCTGGGATACTGTCAGGTTGCCCAAGCCTAGACAGGGGGAAATCAAGATGCAGAAGTCAGGTTCGAACCACGAACCTTCCGGTCAGTAAATTCGCGCTCTAACCACTGAGCCATCTCGCCCCGACCTGTCCGACGCCATGATGCATTTGTTTGGTCAGTTCTCAAACACAGTAACCCAAAATGAAGTGTGCCATTGGATTGATTTTGGAATTCGCTCACTTTAAGTCCTGTGCTCGTGATGATGAGGAAGCTACCGTTCATCCACACTGACCAGCAGGCAGGATAGCACCGATCCAGTTTTCCAATAATCAGCTGGCCGAAATCAGCTGAGTGGAACCGATGCACCAGCTGATTCACACTGATATGACAAACTACCATTAACCGTTAACTGACAACCGATGTCCTAACTGACTGTGGAAGACGTGGAGGTTGGGGAGTGTGACTATGTTTCCATGGCATATTCGCCAGCCGAAACGGTCCGATGTTTTGACCACCAATGGTAGCCTTCATAAAAGAACAAAGTACCAAAAGTTATGCATTTTTCAGGCTTACAACGGTAACAGTTGTTGGCTAGATCGCCCGTTGTTCGAACTTCCCCGTGGCTTCTCAGTTGTTCTCCTGTAGGCTTCGGTAACCCCGCCAATATCTTAACGTTCTTGTTTCCTTCAGGTTGTATTTCCTTGATACACGAGAAGGGGGTTGCAAATCAAAACTCTATTGTCGTTTACGTGTCGCTGTTTGGTTACAAACTGGTGCATTTTAGCATAACTGTCGGTCCACCCAGGAGCGTCTCCGTTTCGTCAGTAACAACAGGCAATAAATGCATTCGAAATAACGAAAGCCACAGCGCCAGGTTGCTTTGAATTCCAGATCTGGCTGCTGTGTTCTATAAGCGATCCAGCAGCTCATGGCGAAGATGCCTTTTGGTTAGAAGCAACTTAGTGTACAAATGAGTGTAATTCGCCAATTACCTACTGTCTCTGTTCAAGCAGGCTATAAGGTTAACGGGAACTCGGGAACTATCCCCAACTCACGAGGCTGAAAGCAGTAGTGAGCTATCAAAGAGTTTTTAGCAAACCCGTGAGTAGTGTGGTCCATCAATAAAATCCACTGTGGTATCTCGACTATGGTCCCATCTGAAATATGGGGCCATTCTCGAGAAATACACTCATTTGCAAATCAATTTGGTTTTCACGAGATACTCAGCTGAATCTCTCGTTTATGATATTCTACAACTGAATGTGCTGCACACAGGTCGCCTCATGTTTTAGTCGGCACGATGTTCGATATATCGCAGTATATTTTCATAAACGAAACTACTCGCAAGGTTGCTGAAAACTCTCCGACAGCCCACGAGAGATTCATTTGAGTCTCTCGTGAAAACCAAATTAATTTGCAAATGAGTGTATTTCTCGAAAACAGTCCTATTGGGGTTCAAGTAGAAAATAAGGTTGACGGAAACTCGGGGACTGCGCCTACCTGATGAGCCTTGAAAAGAGCGATCGGTCGTGGGCTTTCGAAGAGTTTTTCAGCACTCTTGTGAGTAGTTTCCTTTACGGGGCCATTCTGTTAAAGAATGTCCTACACGAGCGATTCACATGACTCCCCCGTTGAGAACAAATTATTTTGCAAATCATTGTGTCCGGCCTTCAGTTTATGTTTGTTTCTGTCAATCATTGGTCGGTGCTTTGCGAACTTTCCGAATGTATTTGTGGTTTTTTATTTGCCCTTGTGGTTTTACTCGCAAAAGGCTCATTGCAAGTGACCATGGTAAAAGCAATATGCTGTCCTGGGTCGTACACCAAGAAAGACTGTACAACACACCAAGGTACTCTCACATGTGGATACATAATTTGACCAAGCTAAGAATACAATCACATCAGAGGCAGCAATATTATTCTTAATTAGGATCTCGTTCTGTAAGTGAAGCCGATCAATGCTGAAAAGCTGGGAAGCATTGTACAGGTGCTTCATCCTTACTGGGAATCATCAGCAATGCACATCTCAGGAAACTTCACGGAGTCATGAACCCGGGACTTTCCGGCTAGTATTTTAAGCACTTGTGCGTTTGGTCACGAGCGGCTGATCAGCGGTGTGATTAGCTCACATTTAGACAGGATGTCGCTTCACATATCCTTCACTCGTCAGGATAGTTTTATTCTTTCTCTCAGTTCATCTCAGAATTCTTGATTAGGAAACCCTCACGGATGAGTACTAGAATTCCCCAATGTCGGTATCCAGTACTGAGAGTTTCTCAATATGGATTACTAAGCACAGATGTGTCCTGCGTGTTTACAGGGCTAAATGCAACCTTACTGCTGGGTAGTTCGCTTGAAGCATAGAACCGAGGCATGGGATTTTCCCCCTGTCTCCTAGCGAGAGTACTTCACCCCAGGATTGAAGGCTAGGTAAATACTCTGATATTCGTAATACACTACTCATAAGGTTGCTGAAAATTCGTCGACAGCCCACGACCGGTTTCGCCCTTCTTGGGACTCATCAGGTAGGTGCAGTCTCCGAGGTTCCGTCAAACTTATGTTCTGCTTGAAACCAAATTGCACGAAATTAGCGAAATGCACTCATTTGCAAACTGATTTTTTGCAAGAAACTCACCTAGAACCCAGCTGAATCGCTCGTTTGTGATGTTTCCGGGCAGCTGAGTGCGCTGCTACAAACCGCCTCATGTTTCAGTCGCTACGATATTCGAGATATCGCGATACATGTATATTCGTAATGCACTGCTCATAAGGTTGCTGAAAATCCGTCAACAGCCCACGACCGGTTTCGCCCTTCTTGGGAATCACCAGCTGAAACATCAGATGGCTTGGTGCAGCACATTCACTTGTCTGGAAACATAAACGAGAGATTCTGCTGGGTTCTAGGTGAGTCTCTCGCAAGACCAAACTAGTTTGCAAATGAGTGTATTTCGCTAACTCTCTGACATATTTATCTCTGAGGAGCAAATGTCACTAACCCAGATTTGCTAAGCTATTGTCCCACAGAAACCGTCGTAGGCAGTGTTGATTTGTCACTCTGCAACTTGACTTATGTTGACTGATAGTTCTCCCGAGGTTATACGCACGGCACCATTCATTGGTTCAGATTGTAGGTGACAAGACTGGAGTCGGATAAATTAACTCACAAAAACCCGGCGTGTGTCGATTCTTCGACATTTTCTTCATTCCTTGTCTTGTGGCCTTTGAGTTTGGGTAGATGGTGCTAAGTCGATACCCAGATGACAGGTTCGGTGAGTGTGCTGAAGGCTTTTAATCAGTTGCTTCTCATCTGAGGGAACGCCGCATCTCCCGAAGATGTTTTCCTTAAATAAAGTACTGTGACATGTTGTACTTCTCCGGTTGCAACGGCGCTTCCTGATTAACGTATTTGAGGTGATGTTAAGTTTGCTTGCGTCAAAATTAACCCCACTGTTTATCCAATCGGTGTTTCACGTTCCCCACTCCTTTCTAACTTATCCTTATGTTCGATTTGTTGCACAGATACACGTTCTGAACGATAACGCCCCGAGTACTGGTGACAAGTTTCTATCGAAATTGTATCAAGAAGCCGAGGCAGACAGAAAAACCCGAAAACAGGCCAAATTCAGTCAACTCTACCGATATTTGAACCTGCTTAGCCTGGAACCAAACGATGTCAAAGATGGATTCAGGGACAACCTAATCCCTATTGTTAAAGACGCCTCGCAAACGGTGATCTCGATGCCACCTCTCACCAACTGCCAGCAAACCCGTGTGAGTGACAGTCTGCCTTGGGAATTTTTCCTCAAGTAACCCTCTAACCCCTTTTCGATGTTGACCATGATCATTTGAACTCGTGACCAGTGCGACTCAGTCTCCAGTCATATTACCTGTGTTTTCTGCTCGAGCAGTGGTTTTCAGAGTTGATTTTTAATCGTTCAGCTGTAGCACCCTTTCAGTGTCTGGCTTCCATGCCACACAAAGGAGGCACGAGGGCTGGGATACTGCCAGGTTGCCCAAGCCTCGACAGGGAAATTCGAGTGACAGAGGTCGGGTTCGAACCACGGACCTTCCGGTCAGTAAATTCGCGCTCTAATCACTTAGTCATCTAGCCCCCTTCAGGGTTGATTACCTCACCCCCTTCCGACTCTTTGTCTTTGCTCAACACCATCCGTCACCCTCCTTTTATCATATACGCCATCTTGAAAGGAACGTGACCAAGCGCCCAGACATCATTGTTGAACCGAGTCCATTTCCGGTCTGGTAATTTGGACTCTGTCGAATGCAATCCACTCAAACTGTTTGTTATTGGAAACCCCCACTATGGCGGTCAGTCTAGAGTAGTCTAACAATAAGGACGTGGTTTGAAGTGGTGCGTGTGGCAAACGTATAATTGACGTGGAACTTCACATATCAATACTATCGAACGATCCCTCATTATCAACTGATCTATTGCACAATGTTGCCGTTCTATCCAAACTGATTTACTCGTCATGTCCAAGTACAGTCTTCTCTTGTACGTGCGCAGGGTGTACATATTGTCTCGCCAGGTGACTTAAGAGGCGTGAGGAAGATTCACCACCTCCGCGTCTTCTGAATCTACTCCAGTGTCGTTGTTTCCCCGACGATGGACGGAAGTTAATAGTCATTGAAATTGCTTGGATATTCCCATGGTTTGAAAAATAACACAGTGACGAACATTAATGTTTTCGGGAACTCGTCATCAGGTCAGTACATATCTAATGGTTAAAATAAGAGCGAGAAATGAAATACGCTGCGAAGATTGGTTAGTGAAATGCATAACATGGAGACACGAACGATTGGTTATCTGCGCCCCTCCAACCCCCCATGTCGCATCTAGTTGGATGCCGTGAGACAGTGAAGAGGGCTGTTGA